TTGTTTGTGTTTCTCCCCTTGTGATGGGACTTTGTAGGATGAACCTTTGATATTTATAAAGGGCACGGGGTGACCAATAAAGTCTGAATTGGTCTGTAATAAGGTAGGGCACTCATAAGGGGTTGTTGACAACTGTGCATTCGAGGATTATTTATTCTGTACTCGAGCACGTGTTTACGTTTTACGACAGCGAGAGTCGTCACACTTTACGTGCGGCCTTACGGCTTCCCCAACACAGGCCCCCTTTCGAGCTTTACGGCGCCCGGTTACAGTAATCATTTTGCGACAGTTACGGTTGCTTTACGACTGCTTTACGGCAGCGAGTTCACGCGTGTGCCCGGCATGGCTTCCAAGGACGTGGGGAGATCCGCGCTGCGCGCTCTCAGAGACTTGCCGCGCGTCTCCCTCATCAACCTCAAGCCCAACCCCGGCTCCCGCAAGAGGGTAACGCGGCGCCACCGTCGCGGCACGCGCGGGGGACCCATGCCGACGAGAAGGAGAGCGCCTCTGCATCGACACTTTGTCACCGCTTAAGGAGTTAGGCCTCGCTCGGGACCATGGTCTCGCCTGAATTCTCTGCGGGATTCGATGAGCGGTCCCGGCAGGCGGGTGGAGAAGTTCAGGGGCGGAGGTTAGAACGTAGAGGTCATGGGATTGGGCGGTTGTGCTTTTTTGACTAAATTGAAATACCTTGCTGGCAGACTTTGCCATGCAAAGACTTTATGTACTGTCAAAGCTAATAATTTCCATAGCTAGAATAAGCCAAATTGAGTAGCACGCCATATTTTACTTATGTGCTTTTGTTGTTGACCGGCCTGAGACAATGATCTCCCTACACTTGAGAACTCTCTGTTTACTCAGAGGTGACCAAAACCCGGATTCAAAGTCATGATTTCAGCGGCGGCAGCTTTTAGTGTCTGCAAAGCGGCTATTATAACCTCGTTTGATACTCGCGAGAGACGCCCAGACCCAGGGTCTGAACAGCCCTTACACGGCCTCTCCCGACACAGTAGTTATGAACCCCCGATGATTTTCACGACACCCAGTCCGAGGACTCGAACTGATGCATGATTTAAGGCTTCGGCATTGCCGATTCATTCATTGTCTCCCGACACGGCCATTGTGAACCCCCCCCCCCCAGCCATCTGCGTACGATGCTGAGGTATGCCGTGTTGCGTGTCGCGCAGGAAAAGCAGAGGGGCCGTGGCCGCGTTCACCAGGGAGGCAAGAGCGGCCGTGGCCACAAGGGGCAACGCCAGCGCAGCACGCGGCCGCGCCTGGGCTTCGAGGGCGGGCAGACGCCCTTCTACATCGTGGTTCCCAAGTACGGATACAACAAGGACCACAGGTACGTGGTGGGTCGTAGACCTTAGAGGGTGTTTCGGTGCTTTGATCGCGCGTACATCTTTGTTAACCCACGTATGCCCACGTGTGCCTACGATAGCGTAGTGGTGGTCGTGCATTGTATATGTTTATACATATGTGTCTGTCTATGTGTATTATTGTACAGTATGTCAATGCGAGTATGTATATATGTGTTAGTGTATATATGTGTGTGGAGAGTGGTGGTGTAGAGGTAAGAGCACCGTGCAACGAGCCCAGCGACCAGGGTTTGATTGCTGTTTACACCTAACGCTAGCGATGAATATTTGAACCGTTCGTGGGCATCAGGTCCGCTCATTCTTTAAATCAATACCTGGTGCAGTATATATCAGCATTGAGGATAAAACGGCGACTGGATATGCTCCTGGCCTCACCACCCTATCGTGCACCATACCAGCTTTCTTTCGTAAGTAATCACAGCACTTTCTCCAACAGTCCGCCAGGCTATAAGGTGGATCTTTCTATTTGTGTGCGCAGCCTCCGCCGCCAGTACCAGCCCCTGAGCCTGGCACGGCTGCAGTACTTAATCGACCTGGGCCGAGTCGACCCGACGCAGCCGATTGACCTCACTCAGCTCATCAACGCTCGCGGTCTCAACGTCAGCCACCAGGAGTATGGCGTCCAGCTCGTGGAAGAGGTACGCACTCGCGCAGAGACGCTTGACGACACAGTGATGCACTATGATGCACGGGGACATGCAGCAACACACAGCGATGCACAGTCACATTGGAAAGCATGGAAATGCACAGTGATGCGCTGTTAACGATGCAGACATGCAGCATTGGACTGTAACATACAGCGATAAACGGCAATGCACAGCTTTACACTCCTGAGATAGGAGCCATACCAACCCGCCCCAGTCACTCGCCAACCCACCAATCTTCACAACCAGCCAACCATTCACCCACCCATCCACCCACTCAGTCACCCAGTCACTCCCCCATCAATCCACACATCCATGCACTCACTCTGCCCACCGTTAGGCTGTGTGGTGTTGGTGTGTTGCTTGTTTCACCGCGTGTCTCCTTGTGGCTGCAGGGGGCGGACACGTTCCAGGCGAGGGTGAACATTGAGGTGCAGATGGCGAGCGAGCTCGCCATTGCCGCCATTGAGAAGAACGGCGGCGTCATCACCACTTCGTTCTACGACCCACGCAGTCTCGGTACCAGCACTGCATGGCACCGTATGCCACCACAGCACACCACACAAGGTGTATAGAATGATAAATTGAAGCTAAAATTATTCAGAGTCGTGTGAGCGCGTATGTGTTTGCGGTAGCATCGGTGTGGACGTCTATGTGTGTGGGTAAGCGTCTGTGTTGTCTGTGTGTAGCAGTAGTGTCGCGGTTAGCACGCTGCACTACAAACCTGGTGACACGGGTTCGATTCCTGCTCATGGCCACCACCAGTGACGATTATTTTAACCATTCCTGTGCCTCCGCTAGGTCGAGTCAGCCTTAAATGAGTACCTGGTGCGGTATGTAAACCTTGTCACTTGGGAGACAAAGGTGGCCGGGTGTGGTGCTGGCTACCCACTCCCTCGTATGCCATGCCGGCCTTAATAGCTACTCGCTAACAGCACTTGCCCCTACAGTATGTTTAGGCTACAAGGGGGGTATTTGTATTGTCTGTGCTATGCTACGCTTTGCTGGACAGGACAATACCGCTTAGCAACTTGCAGGCCAGCCCACTTAACAGGCACATGTGCTAAAATATTAGAATTGCTCACTGACCTTTTCACCCATTCGCTAGCCAAAACCCACCAAAACCCATGGACCCACCCACCCAAACCCACCTCTCCCCGTGAACTCATCCACTCACCCATCTTTCCTACCCGTCTTTTCGCCCACCACGCAGAGATCCTGTGCAGGCCCGTGCTTTTCTTCATGAGGGGGCAGCCCATCCCCAAGCGGATGCTGCCTCCGGAGGATCTGCTGCGAGGCTACATGAGCGGCGAGCGGCGGGGCTACCTCGCCGACCCGGCTGCCGTGGCTGAGGCGAGGCTGCTGCTTGCCCGGCGCTACGGCTACGCGCTGCCCGGCGTTTCCCCCACTGCCGCCATCGCCGCCCTCCTGGCCGCCCGCAAGGACCCGCGCCAGATCTTCTACGGGCTCGCGCCGGGCTGGGTCGTGAGCCTGACAGAGCGCGCCATCTACAAGCCCACAAAAGAAGAGCTGCTGCAGTACTATGCCTCGTGAGGGCTGGGCGTGGGGGCAGGGTAGGTGGGGGGGGATAGAAGCCGGGGCGGTGGGGGGAGTTGTATAACAGGTCATGGTGTAGATGCAGAGCAACAGCTACAATTTCACATTCAGATGGTCAAGGCAGATAACTGCATCAGGAGCAGCGGAGAGTCTCGCTGTGACGTCTCCTTCGTATTTGTGGATCGGGAATACGTCGTTATACGTTGTATGGTACGTTCTGGATGACCACAGTTGCACACTGGAGGGTTTTGAATTTTCCATTTGTGCATCAGGTATCCGCATTACTGCCATTCTTGTGATAAAGGTAGGGGTAGACTGGTGCCTTATGGCTGTACTGCCATCTGTTCTGCCCACATGGTACCGTAGTCCTGCAGCCTGCAACACCTGTTATGAATGGTGGGCACCCTTCAAAAAACTATCCACACTCAAAGCAGCTTCGCTTTTGAGGTCCGATGAGGTCATTGGGCCCTTCTCAATCGTGACACCAGAATTGCAAATGTAAATATATGTTCTGGGTGAGAGTCTAGGATGATAACAATAAAGAAGTTTATGGGTCGACAATTTCTGAATGGGGTGAGGGGGAGGTCCTGCATTGCGCGCGTTTTGTGGGCGTGATGTCTCTATGCTGACGAGACATTCGTGTACAGTATTCGTATGAAAACAAAACGCAAAGCACTAATAAACCGGTATCTCTACACTTGAGGTGGTGTCCGTGTCATTTTAGGCCATGTGCCACCAGTTAAATATGGTATGTATGTTGAACTTCCTTTGTACCGTACGTAGCTAACCGTGCTAATAACAGGTGCCCGGGAAGGACAACAAACTAAACAAACAGCAGTTCTAAATAAATAATTGTAATCTAAATTTAAAAGTGCATAACTCCAGTAGCTTCCTAAAATCAGAAGAACATTCCAGACGGCTGCAGAAGCGCATCTAAAAGCTCACGGATTCTGTTGGTGTGCTCATTGCCCAACGTGTTTACATTGTGGACATTCACATTAATCGAGACTCGACTGCATGAGGCAGAGTTTCAGGATCGCTCGCGCAAAGTGGGTTTCAACTTAATGACCCTGGTAGGAATGTGGCGACATGTTGAGCCGGTAAGACCAGCGGGTCATGAACAGGAATACATTGCCAGTGTCGTCACTATTACAACCCCGGAGTGACCCGACATGGCATGGGGAGGTACTCATCCAGCAGTGGTTTAACAAAGATCTGACATTTTTTAATTAGATTTATATAACTTGGTCCGTGCAAATTTAATCTCAATCTCCGAGGAACCACACGAGCTGGGATGGCAATCGCCACGCGGCAAGCCAGAGCCAACAATTCCCTCAGCTCAATAACATCAATAAATTAATCGGCGTCATAACGAATGTTGTCGACATCAAAAATAATAGAAGCCTGTACACTTATGCTTTTGTAAAATGAATGTTTATTCGGTAGGATAGTTGCAAAAGGTATGTACAATTCCTCAAGTGCAAAAGTATGTATGTATATATATTTACAAAGCAGAGCAATAAACAGTATCATCCTCCCACTGCAGAACCGAGCTCACGGCACAGACGGGCTTCCACAGGAAGCGTCGCTGAGCTTCAACAAACAACGTCACTTTACATCAGCAATGTCAACATGGGACAAAACAAAGTTCACGACCCCCTGCTGCTTACCCAATAACACGAAAGGTGGCACGAAAACAATTGATAACACTAACCCTGATCTCTAACACCGACTTTTAATACGCTAAGATGAACCATAACATTGACTAACATTTACCCTCCCATAATATCCCGATCGCCTACTCTAACACTAAATCTGAATGCTATTACTAACCACCTTACCATAACCCTGACACGAATACAAACCCTAAATCAACACTACCCAAAGTCGTAACCATAACACCATATTCCTAACCTTAAACACTGCTCATTTAAAAATAACGTAAAATGCACAGCATTACACAACACATGTACATATGCAGCAGCAGAGATTACACTCTACACTAAATATATTGCACATCAGTAACTGGCAGCTGAAACTAATGCAGCTGATAAGCCAGTATATGTCTACACACACAGCATGGTTGAGTGTGCGTTCAGTAAAATAACACGCAGGTAAGAGCCATGGGCCCAACTCTTGCTTAAAATGTTGAATTTGTATTACAATGTTCAAACGAGGCACTTGGATGGCCCTAAGCCAGTGGTGGAAAATCCACATTGCCGTGACAGGACAAGTCCATTTATAAGCCAAACAGTTGAACGAGTATATTTATTTAAAAAAGTGTTAATTTATAGTTTTTGAAACTAAATAGTCCAAATTACTTGTAGTTTAATGAAAGCAAGTCTTTACTGAGTAAAAACACATTTTCCTGAAATTGCAAAGTTTAAAAATAATCGTTATAAAATCTGCTTTTGCATTAAATTTCACGTGTGTATTTTGAGTCAATTGAATTGCACTAGTTATGCATAAATGACCTTACCTGCCTATTAATGGACAAAAAACATTGTCCTTTGCATAAAAAAAATACAGTTTAAACAACGTGGGTATGTGCAGGTGAGTCATTCGGATGGTTGATGGGCTCTCTAGATAGGACGCCAAGACTACCATCATCACCGCCAGCCACGACCACCACCATCTCCAGCATCAGCGCCATCATCTTCACATTGGACTCCCTTGGGCTGGGATGCAGCTTTTGGGCAGCAACGTCAAACTTGGTGTCTGCGGGAGGGAGATCACGTAACACGGTTATGATACACAAAGACAAAGATCCCCCTATAAGACTTAACACACCGTTGGGGCAAGTGCTGTTAGCAAGCGCCTATGGAGGCTGGCACGACACACTAGAGGGTGGGTGGCCAACACCACACCCGGCCCCGCCTTTGTCTCTCCAGTGGCGATGTTTACACCGCACCAGTTACTCATTTGAGGCCGAGTCGACCTAAGGGAGGCCCAAGACCGATTCAGATAATCGTCACCGGTGTTGGCCGTGAGTGGGAATCGAACTCGGGTCGTCAGTTTCGTCGAGTCGTGCGCTCACACCCATGTGTACACAGGTGTTTATAATTTACTTCATTACACACACATGTACAAGTGTGCAGATGTATTCTAATGGACGGGTAATCGATCACTTGTAACAATGCCTAATATGAATTGACTTCAGATTTGCATTTGTGGCCAACTGTGCAATTAAGTTGACAATGCATTTCAATTAATTAAACACACACACACCACGTAGAATTGCTCCCAATGCATACACAAGACACAAAACAAAGACTCCCCGCATATCCTCCACAGGATAGAGGTAAGTGCTGTTAGGATACCAATGGAAGGCCCACGAGGTGGTGGTGTGGATAGCACCACGCCCGGCCGCTTTACATGACGCATCGGGTAGAGTACTCATTTAAAGCAGAGTTGACCCAGAGGAAGCCCAGGACTGGTTCACATAATTTAATCACCACTGCTGTATGCCGTAGTCGGGAATCGAACTCGGGTTGCAGTTTGGTTCGCAGCACAGTGGCTTGACCCCTGCACTGTCATCACCCCACACGACGAAGATCCCTCGAACTAGCCTTTAACAGGCAATACATACATAGAGTATGAATACATACATACATACACACACGATCCCCTATAACACACGTGGAGCAGCTGTGTCCCTTACTGGGCAGTGACAATGTGGGTCGTCCCGGCTGAGAAGAAGTATCTATCCCACCAGCGCTTCTCTGTGGTCGCGGAAGGGAGATCTGTGCACAGGGAAGACACGTGGGAAAGTGAGAGGGGAGTTGGAAAGTTGGTGGACCCGAGACGTGGGAATGTCTCACAGCGATGCTATTATTTCTTTGGATCTTTACTGGGGTCTGGAAACTTGCACGCACGCACGCACGCACACATCGGCAAGCATACACATACATAACAAAGACAAAGATCCCCCGTATAGCTTGTAACAGACTGTTGGAGCAAGTGCTGTTAGTGAGCGCCTATGAAGGCAGGCAAGGCACACGACACACGAGGGGGTGGGTGGCCAACACCGCGCCCGAATGCCTTTGTCTCCCTAGTGACGATGTTTCCACACCGCACCAGGTACTCATTTGAGGCCGAGTCGACCCAGGGGAGGCCCAGGGCCGGTTCAAATATTCACCACTGTTATTAGAATCAAACTCGGGTCGCCGGGTTCATCCACACACATGCCCACATGCTCAATACACGTAGACATACATACACACACACAACAGTGACGTAAGAACTTGTTTATGAACTTTAACACAGATGTTGTAACACACACACAGAGACAGACACACTGTGAAGCAGTCGCGTGTTTATGGACTTTTGGACAGCCCAATCCACACGTATTGGCTTACACACACAGACACGTAAGCACTCGAGTGGGCCATTGTGTACCCGCGTCAGGGTCCAAATTTTGGCAGATTCGAAAATTACCCCGCAAATTGCTCAATTGGGACCAAACGTAGTGATCATCGCCCGCTACTGACAGACTAATGCCCCGGGTTCCACTTGCAAATGAGACTCTTATCCTGGTCTCCCTGAGCTCTCACCCGGGCTAAAAAGTTAAACTTGAACAGCGACGCAAGCACGTGTTTATGAACTGGAACAAAGATAAATATCCCCCGTGAAGGCTGTAGGGGCAAGTGCTGTTAGCGAGCATCTATGAAGGCCGGCAGGGCAAACGAGGGGGGGGGGCAGCACCACACCTGGCCACCTTTGTCTCCCCGGTGGCAATGTTTACACATCGCACCAGGTACTCATTTTGAGACCGAGTCGACATAGGGGAGGCCAAGGATCGATTCAGATCATCTTCGCTGGTCTTGACCGTGAGCGGGCATCAAACTCGGATCACCAGCGTCCGTAGCACAGTTGCGCTAAACGGTACACCGCCTTCATTAATTAGGTGGTCGCTAAGAGCACTTGCCCCAACAGGCTGTTCAGGCTATACGGGGGATCTTTGTTTTTGTTTGTCGTTTCTGTGTATGTGTGTCTGCCGGCTGATGTAGGGGAGTGGTGTAGGGGGATGTACCTGGGGTTGGCGGAGGAGGAAATCGCTCTGAAGGGCCCTGGTCCCAAGACCCAGCGGAGGAGGAGCTCGCATCAGATCCGGCTCGTACTGGGGTCACGGAGAGGAAAGATAAAAAAAAGAAGGGGAATTAGCAAAGATCAATACAAAGACAAAGATCTCCCACGTCGTAGCCTACGTAGACGTCTGGGGAGAGTGCTGCTGTTACAGAGCTCCTGTGAAGGCTGGCACGGTGCAGGAGTAGGTGCGGAATGGCAAGCACTTTCACAATAATAATTACCAATAATACAATTGTAATAATTGATCATCATTAGACCTCCTTTGCCAGTACCAAAATGTAATAATAGGGTTTTTCCCCTTTTTTTCTGGCAACAAAACTGAAACCTTATTTTACAAGGATCCGTGTCTGCATTAACCACAATACCTGCAGTCAAAATAAAAAGGTTTCAGTTTTGTTGCCAGAAAAAAGGGGGAAAACCCTATTATTACATTTTGGTACTGGCAAAGGAGGTCTAATGATGTAGATGCTCACCCCGAGCCCTCATTACTTTGATAGTGCATTGTCTTTGAGTTGTACGCCTTTTGGCGTCATCTGGTCGAGCACCAATTGGGTCGAGGCTCAAAGAAAGCCGTCCCTTGGTGTGGACCAATCAGTTTCAAGGACAATGCATATATTATCATAGTATGTTTTTTGTTTGCATTTTGACTGCAGGTATTGTGGTTAATGCAGACATGAATCCTTGTAAAAAGGTTTCAGTTTTGTTGCCAGAAAAAAGGGGAAAAACCCTATTATTGTAATAATTGACTCACGTATTATTATTTCATAAATAAAACATCTCAATACCGTAGTTCTTAACACTGCCTTACAACTAAACACATAGAATAGGATGATTTTTTGGGCATTCACCATTCTTGCTTCTTTGCCGTACTCTATATTCGTATATACAGGCCAGAGACAAAGATCTGCTGTAAAGAGTTGGGGCAAGTGCTGTTGGCGAGCACCTATTGCGGTGGGAATGACGGTGTAGCGAAATAATGTCTAAGTAACATTAACGTCTAATGATCATACGTATCATCGTATATATAAACACATACCATCGTATGATGATGGTGATCATGAGAGATGGCAAAGGTTTGGGAAGGCTTTCATCCAGCAGTGGATTAAGCATGTTTACGATGTTACTCACTTCTGTAGAACTCTCTGCGAGCCAGGAGGGAGTTCGCGGATGGGATTGAAGCCATCGCTCTGGGACTTTTGACTCTGTGACATAAAAGAACAACAGCAGCACACGGATTTAAACATCAACAAAAATATAAAGGTTCCCGGGGTAGCCTTAAACAGGCTATTGTGGCAAGTGCTGATGGGCATGGGTGGCTTGCACCACGCCCCATCATCAACCATTGCCTCTTTATTTGAGGTTTTTTTTTACCACGCAGCACCAGCAACTTCCAGTACAGATTCACATATCACGCGACCAGACAAAGACACTAACACACATACAAAGACCCCCCGTATAGCTTTAACAGAAGGTTGAGACAAGTGCTCGCTATTAGCGCCTATGAAGGCCGGTTCGGCACAGCACCACGCCCGGCCGCCTTTGTCTCCCCCGTGGCGATATTTACTGCACACCGCACCATTTACCCATTTGAGACCGAGTCGACCTCTGTAAAAATGTTTAAAGTATACACACACACGTTGACATAAACACACACACATACATTAACACACGGAACTTACCAGGCTAGTACGGTATCGGACCACGTGTTTGTGCGTGTGAGTGAATGCGTGTTAATGTTTTGCAATTTTCATTTATTTGGTATAGCCCTGTGAGCCATTCGGCTCTTGAATCGGGTGCAACCGCAACAAACAAAAAACAAAAACATGATCAAGAAAACATCTTAAAGTGACTGTGACTGTGCAAACAGAAAATCCAGGAAAAAACAGCAAAATATTCCTGAAAAAGCATCGTACACCAACGCTGTGTGCAAAAATCCCAGTGGGATGCAAGTCAGACAACAACCACAACACAACTTAGTTTAAGGCCATCATTCTAAGTCCGTACTACAATAAACAAACATTGCCAAACCAAAAAAACTTTTCGAAATCACCAAAATAATGTGCGGGGAGCGGTAGTGTAGCGGTTAGCGCTGTGCTGCGCTACGAACCCGGCTACTCGAGTTCGATTCCCGCTCACGGCCAACACCAAGTGACAATTTTCTGAACCGGCCCTGGGCCTCCCTTAGGTCGACTCGGCCTCAAATGAGTACCTGGGTGCGGTGTGTGAACATCGCTTCCGGGGGAGACAAAGGCGGTCGGGCGTGGTTGCTAGTCATGCACTCCATGGTGTGCCGTAACGGCCTTCATTAGGTGCTCGCTAACGTCACTTGTCCCAACAGTCTGCTAAGGCTATACGTGGGACCTTTGTCTTTGTGAGTGCGAATGATGCTGCATGCGCGTGTGTGTGAATTAGTGCGTGTCGGTCGGTAAGTATAGTATCTGTGTGTTCATGATAAAACAAAAACACGCACAAACAACACACACGCGACACACTAAAAACGTACACTCCTAAGATAACACTCAAAACACACTCACTGAAAAAGATATCAGAGTTAAGCTGGATGAACTACACTTGCCATGAAGAAGCTATTTTAAACACACGCGTTCCAGCCTAACGTTGGAGGTAAGAATCAGAATCTGTATTTATCCTGGAGAAATCCGAAGACCTATGAAGCTCTTTTGGGGGCGGGTCAGACACACAAAACACACAAAAACGGAGTGCAAAGTTCAGCAAAGGAAAGCAAATCGCACAAAATAAATATCGCACGCCATGTAAACACACACACACATATATAAACACTCGACCACACACCCTCACCTCGTCAAGTCCACAATGCACACAACGAGAGACGATCAAGAGAGAGCGAGAGTAATTGGACTCACCGGCTCTAGGTAAGTGGGTGTCTGTGTGTTGATGTCGGACCGGTCGGCTGCGTTCAGTGCGTGCGAGTTCGTGCCACTACCGCCACTCTTATACCCGGAGCACGGGAATCTGACACCGCCCAATTCATTCACTTCCCCCACCCGCCACCCTCCACCCTCCATCTCCCACTCCCACTCTAGCTCACTCCTCGCCTCCTTCCTTCCTTCCCCGCCTACCCCGTCGCTGCATCCTTCCCACTCCTTCATTCATCCCCCTCCTCCTCTTCCGACCCCAATTCTTAATTCGCACGTCTTCATCCCTCCATGCCCTCCCGCACCTCCTGATTAGCACGGTTTGGCTACGTGCGGTGCGAAAGAAGTTCAACATGCACGCGGATAAAGCCACCTTACTACACTCACCCCAGCTACGTCAAACACCACCCCCCAAAGACAAAGGTTCTCCCGTGTAGCCTTAACAGACTGCAGGGGCAAATGCTGTTAGCGAACCGCAACTATGAAGGCCAGAATGGAACACGAGGGGGTCCAGCACCAGGTCCGCCACACACTCACCCGGCCACATCACTCACCACCCACCACACTCACCCAGCCACATCACTCATCACCCACCACACACTCAAGTCACCCACATCACTCACCACCCACCACACACTCACCCAACCACACCACCCACCACTCACCCAACCACAACACCCACCACTCACCCAACCACACCACCCACCACTCACTCAACCACACCACCCACCACTCACCCAACCACAACACCCACCACTCACCCAACCACAACACACACCACTCACCCAACCACACCACCCACTCACCACTCACCCAACCACACCACCCACCACTCACTCAACCACACCACCCACCACTCACCCAACCACAACACCCACCACTCACTCAACCACACCACCCACCACTCACCCAACCACACCACCCACCACTCACTCAACCACACCACTCACCCAACCACAACACCCACCACTCACTCAGTCATCCCACGAGCTGGATGCTCTGACCCACCCCCCCGAATTGGCTCCCCTCCCGTGCAGGTGGGGAGAGAGGCGAAGGGATGAGGGGTGAGGCGCGGGGTGAGGGGACACGAAGAGTTGGCGGTGCATGAGGGGGTGGGTGAGGCGAATGGGTGAGGAGGTTATGGGGATATACGAGGTGAAGGGGGGTGAGTGAAGAGGTGAGGGATATGTAGCTAGGGGGTAAGCGAGTGGGTGGGGTGAGGAGGGGGGGTGTGGAAGGGTGAGAATGACGGCGAGGGGAGGAGGCTATGGGGCTATTTGAGGTCAAGGGGGTGAGTAGAGGGGTGAGGGGGATTTGGATGGGGGGGGAGGGGTGAGGGGAGAGGAGAAGGAAGTGTGACGAAGCGAGTTAGGGGACAGGTGGGGGTGTGGGGGGGTGAGGGGAGGGGGAGTGGGTGAGGGGAGGGGGAGTGGGTGAGGTGTTGGTGTGCGGTGAGGGGAGGGGTGAGGGGGAGTGGGGGAGGGGAGGGGTGAGGGGAGGGGTGAGGGGGAGTGGGTGAGGGGTGAGGGGGAGTGGGTGAGGTGTTGGTGTGCGGTGAGGGGAGGGGTGAGGGGGAGTGGGTGAGGGGAGGGGTGAGGGGGAGTGGGTGAGGGGAGGGGTGAGGGGGAGTGGGTGAGGTGTTGGTGTGCGGTGAGGGGAGGGGTGAGGGGAGGGGGAGTGGGTGAGGGGAGGGGGAGTGGGTGAGGTGTTGGTGTGCGGTGAGGGGAGGGGTGAGGGGGAGTGGGTGAGGGGAGGGGTGAGGGGGAGTGGGTGAGGGGAGGGGTGAGGGGGAGTGGGTGAGGTGTTGGTGTGCGGTGAGGGGAGGGGTGAGGGGAGGGGGAGTGGGTGAGGGGAGGGGGAGTGGGTGAGGTGTTGGTGTGCGGTGAGGGGAGGGGTGAGGGGGAGTGGGGGAGGGGAGGGGTGAGGGGAGGGGTGAGGGGGAGTGGGTGAGGGGTGAGGGGGAGTGGGTGAGGTGTTGGTGTGCGGTGAGGGGAGGGGTGAGGGGGAGTGGGTGAGGGGAGGGGTGAGGGGGAGTGGGTGAGGGGAGGGGTGGGGGGGAGTGGGTGAGGTGTTGGTGTGCGGTGAGGGGAGGGGTGAGGGGAGGGGGAGTGGGTGAGGGGAGGGGTGAGGGGGAGTGGGTGAGGTGTTGGTGTGCGGTGAGGGGAGGGGTGAGGGGAGGGGAAGAGGTGAGGGGAGGTGAGTGGGTGAGGTGAGGGGTGAGGGGAGGGGTGAGGGGAGGGTGAGGGGGGTGGGTGAGGGGGGGTGGGTGAGGGGAGGGGTGAGGGGGAGTGGGTGAGGGGAGGGGGGAGTGGGTGAGGGGGAGTGGGTGAGGTGTTGGTGTGCGGTGAGGGGTGGGGTGAGGGGAGGGGGAGTGGGTGAGGGGAGGGGGGAGTGGGTGAGGGGGAGTGGGTGAGGGGAGGGGTGAGGTGTTGGTGTGCGGTGAGGGGTGGGGTGAGGGGAGGGGGAGTGGGTGAGGGGAGTGGGGAGTGGGTGAGGGGGGGTGGGTGAGGGGTGAGGGGGAGTGGGTGAGGGGGAGTGGGTGAGGGGAGGGGGAGTGGGTGAGGGGAGGGGGAGTGGGTGAGGGGAGGGGGAGTGGGTGAGGTGTTGGTGTGCGGTGAGGGGAGTGGGTGAGGGGAGGGGGAGTGGGTGAGGGGAGGGGTGAGGGGGAGTGAGGGGAGGGGTGAGGGGGAGTGGGTGAGGTGTTGGTGTGCGGTGAGGGGTGGGGTGAGGGGAGGGGAAGAGGTGAGGGGAGGGGTGAGGGTGAGGGGAGGGGTGAGGGGAGGGGTGAGGGGAGGGGTAAGGGGAGGGGTGAGGGGGAGTGGGTGAGGGGGAGTGGGTGAGGGGAGGGGGTGAGGGGGAGTGGGTGAGGGGAGGGGGTGAGGGGAGGGGGAGTGGGTGAGGGGAGGGGCTAGGTGGTGAGGGGCTAGGGGGAGGGGCTAGGGGGTGATCACGACTGCGCCACGTGGTAGACACGCGGTGACGTCACTGCACGTAGAAGCTGGCCATTGTGAGCCACGCGTGCAGGCATGGAATGCGAGTGAGTTGCTCTTCACGGCAACACAGACTAAGGGTAGTGTAATGTCTGACTACAGGTAATGAATTGTTAATAATACTGCACTGAGTAATTTATATGCCACCACTACCTCCATCACCACCAGCAGCGTCATCACCACTACCTACACCATCACCACCACCAGTATCGTCACCACTACCTACACCATCACCACTACCTACACCATCACCACTACCTACATCATCACCACCACCAGTATCGTCACCACTACCTACACCATCACCACTACCTACACCATCACCACTACCTACACCATCACCACCACCAGTATCGTCACCACTACCTACACCATCACCACTACCTACACCATCACCACTACCTACACCATCACCACTACCTACACCATCACCACTACCTACACCATCACCACCACCAGTATCGTCACCACTACCTACACCATCACCACTACCTACACCATCACCACCACCAGTATCGTCACCACTACCTACACCATCACCACCACCAGTATCGTCACCACTACCTACACCATCACCACCACCAGCATCGTCACCATTACCTACAACATCACCACCACCACCACCAAACATTGCCACCACTACCTCCATCACCACCAGCAGCAGCATCACCACTACCTACATCATCATCACCACCAGCAGCAGCATCACCACTACCTACATCATTATCACCACCAGCAGCAGCATCACCACTACCTACATCATCATCACCACCAGCAGCAGCATCACCACTACCTACATCATCACCACTACCTACATTATCATCACCCCCAGCAGCATCATCACCACTACCTACATCATCATCACTACCTCCATCATCAGCAGCATCATCACCACTACCTACATCATCATCACTTCCTCCATCATCATCACCGCCAGCAGCGTCATCACCACAACCTACACCATCACCACCGCGAACATCACCGTTATTAGCAGTACCTCCACCTGCATCATCACCACTACCTCCACCCCACTGGCGGACACATGCCCCCCCCCCCCCCCCCCACTGATCCGATCGAAATCCCCTATTTCCATCGGATCATTGGGGTTTATTAGTAATAAATCGGCATTTTGCGACCCCCACTGCCACTGTGTAGCATATTATTACGTGGCCAGGGACTCTATGAGATGATAGGAACAATAGTCTGAGTCCATAATTGGCAATAAGTAACGGCAAAGCGATTATAAGTGACTCAGAATTGTGCGCAGTTGCGTATACAGAGTCCACGACTTGCCTGAAGTCATTCACCTTCAGCTAGCGCGATGCCGATCACACCACGCGGTTCCAATTCGACACCTCGATCGAAAAACCAAGGAACAAGTCCTTACTTACTAACAACTCCTTACTTACTAACAACTCCTTACTTACTAACAACTCCTCTATCTTTTTTTTTATTGCTGGAGGGGATGCCCCCCCCCCCCACCTGAAAATCCTGGCTCCACCAGGCTCCACCACTATGACCATTAGGACGACCTCCTCCACTATCATCACTAAATGAATCTTGATTTGAAGCTTTCGTGACAGCTGGATCCCGGGGTCCCGAATAAACGGAAGTGTGTTACGACCGAAACGTCGTTCTTTTATTATTTTTTTCTATCTACGTGACTTTACCGAAAGTTCCAGAGAGTATCACTACATTAATTACCACCATCACCACAACATCCAGCACCGGTATTACCATGCGCTTCTGCGGCCGTCTGGAACACTCTTCCTTCTAATATTGGGTGACTTTACCGAAAGACCCAAAGAATATGAATTTCTGCAGTCACGAAAGCTTTAAGTCAAGGAAACACATTTCTTTAGAGCTACTTTTTGTGTTCAGTTTTTGTTGTCCTTTCCACGCACCTTCCGATTAGCACGGTTGGCTACGTACTAAGTTCAACATACCCCCCCCCATCCCCCTGATGTGTTGCTAGATTCTTGGCCCTCAAATAGGATGAGAACTAGAATCACGTCTGTCTCCCTCCCTGACCTCTCCCCCACATCCTCTCCCTCCACGCATGGCTTCATTTCAGCTGGAACTGTCTGGGCCAGCAGTCGGAACGGTGGGAGG